TATAAAAACTTGCTCCAAATTTCTAATAGTAAGGGGTTATGCATATTAAATCACCTTTGAGTTTTCATTTCACTGCCTTGCAAATTGGCAAAGATGACAATAAAGGGCAGACGCTTGGTGTTAAAGGCTCGGATGTGGGAAGAGGACCACATTAATGTGTGTGGTACTATAAACTGATCCAACTGTGCTGAATTTCAGTTTGGAATTGTGGAAGAAGAATGACTGCAGTTGTTCATATTCTTTGGCCCAGTGATTCTACTATGGAACATACACGTTAAGACTTTCAAAAACTGGTCTAATATCTGTTGATAGCATCACTTTAATGGTAGCAAAGAGCTGGAAACATCTGCTCATCATTTGGAGAATACCTAAAAAATTTATGAGTATGATTAATTTATAGACACATAAGAAGATTTGTGTGAACTGGTGCAGAGTGAAATAAGCAGAACTAAAAGAACAAAATTACAGCAAAACAAATGAAATAACTAGAAGGAACCTGAACTTTGAATCAATAAAAGATCAGTGATAGTAGAGAGGTGAGCTTCTAGTAGAACAGAATGTTGTATATATTTTGAGTTGTGGTCACTGTATCAGATGCTTTTGCTTAGATTGTTCCTTTTTTCTCTATTGCTCTCCTTCTTCAATCCCTTAATAAAACTCTCTCCCTAGTAACAGATGTCTATGGTCACGCAAAATAAATCAACATATTGGTTATGTTTGAAAGGTATACCTTATTCTGCAACTATAATCTACCATCTTTCTACCCAGAGGTAAGACTAGTAGTACCAGATGACTATTTCTGGTACCTAAAGGATTAGCCTAGCAGCTGGATCTAATTGTCTTAGCTCATTGCATTTCTGAGAAGAGCTAAGTCTTGTTGGTCATAACACAATGTTGCTGTTACTGTATACAGGGTTCCCCTGGTTTTGCCCACTTCACTCAATGTCAGTTCATGCAGGTCTTTCCAGGTTTTTCTGAAGTCAGCCTGCTCATCATTTCTTATAGCACAGTAGTATTCCATTACATTCATATACCACAACTTGTTCAGCCATTCCCCAATTGATGGGCATCCCCTCAATTTCCAACTCTTCGCCACCACAAGAAGAACTGCTATAAATATTTTTGTATACGTGGGTTCTTTTCCCTTTTTTTATGATCTCTTTGGGATACAGACCTAGTAGTAGTATTGTTGGATCAAAGGGTATGCACAGTTTTATAGCCTATATATCAACTATGCCTTTGGGCGTAGTTCCAAATTGCTATCCAGAATGGTTGATTAGTGCACAACTCCACCAACAATGCATTAGTGATCTAATTTTCCTACATCTTCCCCAACATTTATAATTTTCCTGTTTTGTCATGTTAGCCAATCTGAAAGGTGTGAGGTACCTCAGAGTTGCTTTAATTTGCATTTCTCTAATTCATAGTGATTTAGAGCATTTTTTCATATGACTATAGATAGCTTTAATTTTTTCATCTGAAAACTGACTGTTCATATCTCACGTGATACTTCTATGCAGAGCCTTTTCTAACGTGCCCACCTCCAGCTGTGAGTACCCCCTTTTTGTACCTTATATTATATTTTGTCTCCCTCTAGAATAGAAGCTTTTTGAGGGCAAGGACTAGATAATTTTGCCTTTGTATTCCCAGCACCTAGCACAGTTCTTGGCATATATGTTGATTGAATCATAAAATTCTAGAATATTAGCAGCAAGGGTGTTTAGAAATAATGTAACATATAGTACCATATCCTCACTTTATAGATGATATGGCTGGGGGAACTATAGGAAACACTCTGTCATATTGGGAAGATCTTTTATGCAAGATTTCCAAAAGGGACATGGACAAAAATTGCATGGATGCGGTGAAATCTTTACCAGTGGAGTTGGTGACCACACTGATGAAGTTCATTGTAGTGTTAAAACAGATTCAGAGAAGTTGAGTGCCTTGTTTCAAGTCTGTAACTGTTAATGAAAGAGCTATGATTTGTGTTCTTTTCATTTTATCACCCAACAGAATTGCATTTCTTCATGTGTGGAACATGATAATTTGTCATTTACCCTAACAAACACCAAAAATAATTTAATAAATACCAAAATTATTTTAATAAACACCAAAAAGAACATTTCTATATAGAAAATAAAACAGAAAAATAGGATTTTATGAGAAACAAAAAAATGTCTATTATGTGCTACTTGCTTTTTGAAAAGTATATAATAAATTTAACCTGTTACTTTTAAACCTGTTATTCTTGTCAGTTTCTCTTTGAACTTTCTTCTGTTCTCCTCTGCATTTTTTAAAATGCTTCTGTGACCACCTTTCTTTTCTTTTTTAATGGAAACAGTATTGCTAGCTCTCCTAAATGAAAAGGTAAAAAACAGTCCTTATTACAAATATTCAAACAAAACAAATCCACACTTTTGTCAAGTTCAAAAATATATGTCTCATTCTGCATCTTGAGTCCATTACCTTTGTTAAAAGGTGGACAGTCTGTTTCATCATTCATCCAATAGAGTCATTGTACCCAAAATTAACAAAAGAGCCTTATTTCTTCATGTTTTTGCTGTGGTACTTCTTTAAAACATATTGTTGATGTTTCACGGAAAGCAGGGAGAGGGAAAACCAGTGTTCCAAAATAAGTTACTCTTAGAAAATGTTTTATTTCATTGTCAAAAAAGACTTGAGAAGATGGTGGAGAGTGAAAATCAAGTTATAAATTTTATTTTATAAGGTGTATAAGTTATATCTTTCTGCTTTTCAGTTTGATTTCTGTATCTCAAATGTAATTTTTAAGAGAGGATTTCAAGAAAAGAGGGGAATATGATTTAGTCTGAATTTGCTATTTCGTTGTATATTTTTAGACTTATAATTTGAAAATATGCACAAAATATTTAGATTTATGAGTTGAGTGCTAAAAACCAAAATTTAATATAAAGTGTGTTATTTAAAAATTTTTAGAGCAAATATAAGTAGATTTATTTTTTTTCCAAGCAGTCAGGGTTAAGTGACTTGCCCAGGTCACACAGCTAATAAGTGTCTGAGGCTGGATTTGAACTCAAGTCCCCCTTATTCCAGGGCCAGTGATTTATCCATTGTGCCACCTAGCTGCCCCTACAAGTAGATTTTAAACTTGAGATATGTGCACAAAAGTATTTTTAACTGCCAAGTTTATAGAGCAGTTGTGTTATAGTGAAAATAACACAATTTGTAGTCATAAAGACCTGGGTTTCATTGTTAACTCTACCTTACTAGTTCTTTAAAAGTCCAACACTGTTATTTGACAACTTATTTCAAGGTATGTAAAGTTCTCTTTGAGCATTCTGTCGAATCTTTCCAGTGACATCATCAGCTAGGTAGATTATTTAAGGGGCAGTTAAACAAAGAATAAAATTTAATTTACAAAAACCTTCCCCTTTTTTGTTATTACCATTGTCAACTGTTCTAATCTTGTGTCACTCTGTATACAATACAACCTTATTCTCTAATGTGAATTAAGTTCAAGATAGAGAATGTGTGGCTAAGCAGTCTGAAAAAAATTACAGAATTTTTAGTGGACTATAGGCTTTAAGCTGAGCCAGTAGTGGGATTTGGCAGCCAAAAAAGCTAATGTCATCTTTGAACTGCTCTAGGGTAATGATAGTATACTAGGATTTGCCCTAGTCGGATCACATTTCAAATACTGTGCTCAATTCTAAACATCATGTTTTGGGAAAGACTTTAATAAACTTGGAGAGTGTCTAGAGGAGAATGTCTAGGATTTTGAAAAGCCTTGAGATCATATGAGGGTTAGTTGAATAATCTAAGGATATTTAGCCTAGAGAAGAGAAGATTTTGGGGTAGGAGGGACATGATAACTGTGGTCAAGTATCTGAAGGGGATGTCACGTGTAGGACAAATTAGACTTGTTCCATTTGAGCCTGGAGGAAAGAATTAGCAGTGTTGGTTAGAAGTTGCAGAGAAGATTCAAGCTTGTTAAGAGATAAAGATTTACTAACAATTAGACCTTTCCCTACGTTATTCTCCCTCCCCCCCCGAAAAAAAAAGGGGAATCGGCTGCCTTAGCATTTAGAGAGTTCCTCCTCTGTAGCCTTTGAGTAATGACTGCTCATCGAATTTGTCATAGGGGAAGTTACTGTCTAGATATGGTTGGATTGGAGGATTTCTGAATTCCTTTTTAACTTGGAGATTCTGTCACTATTAATTAATCATGCATTACGTTTTGTCATCTCTTTGCTCTTCTTGTACACGTCGTGATCACTCTCATTTCCCTGCCTTTGCTCATTCTACTCTGTACCTGGAACTCCTTGTCCTTTCTTCACTACTGATCTGAATCCTATCTCACCCTTTATAAAGCTTTACCAGTTTACATCTGTCTTTAAAATCTTTATAATTTATAGTAAGCAGTATACAATTTAGCACATAATTGTTCGTTAAATAATGTGTTTTAGTATTAATTCTCCAAACTTTCAGCTAGGTCAGAAGTTCTTTTGCTCTGCTATTCAGAATTCCCCATAACGTGTAGCACAGTGCTAGGGATTTGACAGAAACTCAGCACTTACTGATTTAGTTGATTAAAAAAAAAATTCAAGTGAGTTGGTCTAAACCCATGATTTAAATGGTATGGGGAACTTCTGATAAGAAAATTATCTCTACTAATTCAGGTGGACAGTAGTTCTATAAACTTAATTATGTTAGCTTTTTCAAGCTTTTATGAAAGCCTTCTCAAGAATAAAGTTTCACGTAAGTCTTCTTTTCAGGTTAAACATCTCAAATTTCTTCAGCCAATTTTCTCATGAAACTTCTGCTCTTGTACTTTTCTCCCCATGTCCGTTCCATTGAGTGATTCCATTCAGGTGCTGGTGACTATAACTCTCAGTGTGATTGCAAATACTGCTTTTTCAATTATATTGTAGATAACTAATTTGCATCTACCTTTTTGTTCAGGTTAAGGGTTCTGTTAATCCACACTCTTACATTAATTTACGTTTTTGCTGTTTCAGAAAAAAGCCAAAGGACAGGCGCTCTTTGACCAGATCATGTACCATCTGGACCTGATAGAAAGTGACTATTTTGGACTGAGATTTATGGATTCAGCACAAGTGGCAGTGAGTAAAAATCTCTAGAATTCCATATGTAGAAGAACCTGAGTTTTCACGTGAAAGTCAGTTTAGGCAATATTGTCTTCTTGTCTTATCTCCTTAAAGTAGCTATGGTGTAGTGGGTAAAAAAGCTGACCTTAGAGTCCGGAAGACTGTGTGATCTTGACCAGGTCACATGACGTTTTAGAGACTGAGGCAATCATGATTCTCAGTTATAGAGCAAATACTGATTGCACTGATAGAGGGAGTGCCTTCAATATGCCAATGAAAAGTAGAGTCACTGCCTCACACCATTCTTCCTTTTCTTCCTCCTCCATTTTTTTATAAAAACTAGTTTCCCTGTTTTCTTCTACCTTTATTACATTTTCTATCCAAGATTTTTTTTCCCCTGTATAATTCAAAAAAATACTGTCATGTTTTTCAAATCCACTATGGCATTGGTGCTTTGGAGCCTATTTTCACCTGTTTTGTGTCATTGATTGAATAATATGGTACATTTCTTTATTTAAAAAAAAATCTTTGTTTTTGTTCTGAACTTAATTACTAAATTAAATGGGCATTTCTTTGAAGAGAGTAGAATAGAAAAAGAAAAAAGTACATGAAACTTCAGTTTTCTATTAGGTATAGCTTGCTTTTCTTTTTAATTATATAATAAAGACAACTTGTAGCTTTCTGAGTTGTCCTGCTTGTTTTTTATTTCTCTTGGCTTTCTGTTGTCTCCTGTTCATTTTCTATCCTATCGCTATCCTTCCTCTCCTTTTTACCTCCCCATTGGAGAAACAAAGACCTTTTAACAAATGTGCGTAATCAAGTAAAAGCAAATTTCTATGTTGGTAATGTCTGAAAGTGTATTCTTTATTCTGCATCTTGAGTTCATTGCCTCTTTCTCAGGAAGTCCTTTGGAATTGTGGTTTGGCCATTGCGTTGATCAGAGTTCTCAAATCTTTCAAAGTTGTTTTTCTTTATAATGTTATCATATATATTGTTCTCCAAGTCCTCTTCACTTTATTCTGTATCTGTTCAGACACGTTTTGCCAGATTTCCCTGAAACTGTACTGTAAGTCATTTTTTGTGGTATAGTAATATTCCATTACATTTGTATGTCACAATTTGTTCAGCCATTTTCCATTTTCTGGTCACTTCCTTAGTTTCTAGTTCTTTGCTTCTGCAAAAAGAGCTGCTGTAAATATTTTTGTACAAAAGGGTACAAAATTATTTTTCACCATATCAGTTCTTTCAAATTTACCTGCATTTCTCTGAATTCCTCACTTATCACTTTACCATATTGCTATATTCCATTATTCATATACCATGGCTTTTCCATATATTCTCCAGTTGTTTGGGCACCCACTTTTTTTTTTAAAGCTCTTTGTTGCCACAAGTACTAGTATGAATATTTTGGTGTATTTTCAGGGTGTTTTACAGAATAGCCTTTTTTTTTCCCCTGAAGAAATAGAAATACAATTGCCAATTCCTACTAGGTCAAGGTAGGAAAATAGGCCAGAAAATAACAACAACAACAGTAAAACATTAATAATAGCTAGTATTTACACAGTGATTTGCAAATTACTTTACAAGTATTGTGTCATTTTATCCTCACAACCACCTTAGGAGGTAGTGTCATTATTATCCCCATTTTAGTGGCACCCTGGATAAAAGACAAGATCACAGAGATAGTAAGTAGCTGAGGCTGGATTTGAACTGGGGTCTCCTTGGCTCTAGGGCCAGCACCACTAGTTGCCCAGACTGACTTCTTTGTTATGGTAGGGAAAATGACTTTGAGACTCTATGGCTTCAGTTCATGTAGACTCTTTCCGGGTGATTTAGAATAAATTCTGGTTTCTGTGACTTGGTGTAGCAATGACCTAGTTAACTTGCGTTTAAGAATTGTGTAAGATTTATTTCTAACACAACCTGACAGAGTCAGCTATTCAGGTGAGAAGAATGGGTGAGTACAGGGGCAGATGACTCACAGCTTCTTATAAAAACCAGGAAGAATGAGGTATGACTATTAAGTGTCACCTTTCTTAAATTTCATTGCATTTAGGACTGAAGGGACTTTAGAAGCCATCTAGATCAAGCTCTTCACTTTATAGATGAGGAAACAGAGTCACAAAGAAATTATTTGCCTGAAATCATATGGGAAGTTATCAGAGCCAGGATTTGAACTATAATTCTCTGTGCATAGAAAGCTGACTCTTAATTACTCCCATGTCAATAATAAGCATTTATCAGTCTCCTTTGTGGTGTTATTGGTGCATTTGACACTGAACATCTATCCCCTTGTCAACTTTTCTTTTCTTTGAATTTTCATGGTACTGTTCTCTCATGGTTCTCCCACCGTCCAGCCACTCCTTCTGGAGATCCATTGCTAGACCATTGTGCAGACTTCCTAACTTTGAATCTACCTGAAATTGGGTTCTTTTCTATGTTTAAACCAGACCTCTCCCTAACCTTTTCTCACCGACCTCATCAGCACCCATCAGTTCAATTACCATCTCTATTTATATGAATATCAGATCTTTATATCTAGGCCTGTTCTCTTTCCTGAGTCCTAGTCCTGTCTTTCTGACTACCTGTTGTACATTTTGAAATGGATGTTCTGCAGGTATCTCACACTGAACTTTTCCAAAAGAAAGATTATCTCTCCCCTCCCAAAAAAACCCAAACAAACCAACAATTGGAAACACTATAATCCTTCATTTACCCAGGTTTGCAGCAACAGAATCATCCTCAGTTCTTCTCTTAGCTCCCCTCTATTAAGACAGTTGCCAAATCTGGTCTATTCTGCCTCCTTAACATCATTCATATCACTGTGCTAACATCACGTAGCTATCCCTCTAGTTTGGAACTATTGTAGTAGCTTTCCAAGTGGACTGTGTGCCTCAGAAAGCTCCCTTCTCCAAGCTTAGTATCCACACAGTTGCCAAAGTGATATTCCTGAAGTAAATGCTTGACCATGTTACACCCATGTTCAAAATATTTCAGTGATTCCCTGTTGCCTCTTAAGATAAACTACAAACGAGGCAGCTAGGTGGCACAGTGAATAGAGCACTGGCCCTGGAGTCTGGAGACCTGAGTTCAAATCCGGTCTCAGGTCAGACCCTTGCCACTTACTTAGCTGTGTGACCCTGGGCAAGTCACTTAACCTCAATTGCCTTGCCCCCCCCCCAAAAAAATTAAAAAAAAATAAAGATTAACTACAAATGTCAAGGTTTTGCATGTAAACCCATCACAGGTTGACTCTATCCTCCCTTTCTAGAATTGTCATTCTTACAGTGAGCAGAGTGGATTGGGTTGAGTAGATACTGAAGACAGAATTCAAGGAAGACCTGAAGTCTTCTCTTTCTTTCCAGCCTGATTCCACAACATCATGCAAACCAAATTCTTTTACTCTATTAATTGCATGTACTTTCCTGATTCTTTACTTTTACTCATGATGATACCTTCTTATAGATCATAAATCTTAGATTTAGCACCTCACGGGACCTTAGAAATCATTGAATCTACTTTTACAGGTAAGGAAGCTGAGACCTAGGGTCACACAGGTGACAAGTATCTGAGGCTGGATTTGAACTCTGTTCTATCCACTCGACTCCACTCCACTACTTACTGCCTCATACTTGTTATGAAGGTTTTCTTTACATGATGGAGAAATCTGCCTCTCTGTTAAGTTCCCGGTGCTCTTTCATGATGGTGTTCTTAGAGAACCCCAAAGAATGAAATTGTAACATAAACAACCCTAGCAGCTAAAGTTGTTAATAAAATATAAAATAAAATGACATGAATCATCAGCATTTCTATAAACTACCAACAAAAACCAGCAGAAGGAAATAGAGGGAGAAATTCTATTTAAAATAACTACTGACAACATAAAATACTTCGGAGTCTACCTGCCAAGACAGTCTTAGGAACCATATGAACACAGTTACAAAACACTTCACCCACATATAAAGATAGATCTAAATAATTGGAGAAATATTAATTGCTCATGGATAGGCCAAGCTAATATATAATTTAAAAAAAAAAAGACACTGTGATCCTGGACAAGTCACACAACCTCTGTTTGCCTCAGTTTCTTCAACTGTATAACTTAGCACCTACCTCATAGGATTGTTGTGAGTGTCTAATGAGATAATAATTGTAAAAGACCTTGTATAAATGCTTATTCCCTTCCCTTCCCCATGTAGAGCTTTCCAAAAAATGCAAAGAAATAGAAGTCAAGCCCTAGGAGTTCTGATTTATGGATGAGGAAGGAGGTGAAGGTAACTTAGATTTTGAAGTACAGGTTATAGAGGGGCAGATTTTAGATGGAAAGATCATAAGGTTATAGATTTAAAGCTGGAAGGGATCTTAGAGGTCGTCTAGTCCAAACTTATTTTATACATCAGGGAACTGAGGCTAAGAGCAATTAAATGACTTGCCCAAGGTTACACATTTGGAATAGCTGAGATTTGAACCTAGATCCTCTGACCCTAAATCCAGTCCCTTTGCATTGCATCATATTGCCTGTATGAATTCAGTTTTGGATTTGTTGAATATGAGCTAGAACTGTCTAGTTGGTGGTGAGAAAAACATATGTGGCCATCAGGTGGATTTTTCAACCTCTGAATTATTCAAATGGAACTAAAAGTTGAAGCTGTGGAAATGGGTGATATATAGCCAAGTGATAGAATGCGGACAAAGTAGAAGCTCAGAGGGTGAGGTTATGTTTACAGGTCATAGAAGAACAACCAGTTGAAGAGAAGCCTGTCTATGATCAACAGTGTTGTGTAGCACTGGAGAAGGACATTGAATCTCATTCTTAGGAAGTTACTGGCGAGTTAAGGCAGAGCCGCAGGTAGAGTGGTGATGGTAACAAATGAAAGCCAGATCTGTGGAGGAGGAAGGTGGCGATGAGAAGTGGAGTCCCTGTGCAGGCTACCCTTTCTAGAGGTTTGGCAGTGAGGCGGGGAGGAGGACGTGGAGGTTTGGCTGCGGGTCGGAGTAAAGGTTTTATTGAAGAT